CCATGAATTAGCTTGTTAATTATGGGTCTGAATCTTAAAGTAGCTAGATATAAAAATTCCTTTACAGACTGTGGATTAACAATACACTCGGCAAATAGCAGTCCTAAGATCATCAAAAGGAAAAGATATTTTCTGGGAAAACTTTGCATTTGTTGGGTAGATTGAGACATGCAGCCTTAAGCCCATGAGGTTGACTGGTGTTCCCTGGATCCCAGTTTGCCAAACACGTTTACCCTGAAGGAAATTCCCCTGATGTCTGCAAGTTTCCTCACATGGTTAAAGCTGTACTTCTGCCTACAGATACTGAGGGATAAAGTCCTAGTTTTCTGAAAGTCAGTGGCAAAGCTTCTACTGGTTATTGTGTGGCCTGGCTTTCACTCAAGTTTCAATAATAAATCTCATTTTCATTAATAAATCCCATAAAACATCACCACCAAAAATGTATGAAGAGTAGGAATTTTAGTAGAAAGCAAAGAATGGGAAGTTGTGTCTCTGGGAGAACAAAAGATAAAGTCACCTATAAATTTAATGTGATTGGACAGAAAACCAGAATGTATTTCAAGCCATAGTAAGCCTGAAATTTTCTGTGTATCTTGTTCTTGGGGAATGCGGTGGGGTGGGTGGTGGGTGGGCAATTGGGATTTTACTTCTGACTTAATGGAATTAAGATGTTCTGCACTTTCCTGTGTACTCTGTTCCTTAATAGAGAACCAACTATAGGCCCACAAGATTCCTGTTGAGCTATGCACAGCACAAACACAACCCCCTTGAGTGTTAATTTATTGAAAAAGAAGGTCTCTTGTATATAAAGAATAGGCAAGAAAAAACACAGATGCATAAAGAAATTAAGAAACCACACAGCAGTTCAACCTAGTTCCCTGAACTGACAGGTTTCTGTCCAATAGCTTACAGTTCTCTTCAAGCAGGAATTTTTCCTTTTGGAGGTGTAGTTCAGAGATGTCTTCTGTGAAAATGCTGGTAACAATGGGAATTTGAAGTACTGAGTTTTTCTGTGACTTGAGATTTATTTGAAGAAACATCTTGCACAAAAAGCCCTTCATTACGTACCATGCTATCTTTTACTGAGACTTGCTGACTGTGATAAGTAAGGAAACAGAGATTGACAGCATTTGCTACCAGAAGACTTGAGACAACTTCTAGTGCCTGGAATAGAAAATCAATCAGAGGATTGGGAAGAGAAAATGAAGCAATTAATGGGTAAATTGATTCCAACTCATCTACTTGGAAAAGTGGCTATCTCTTCCCAGACCTGGGAAGAGCTTTGTTGTTGCTGCTCACTATTTGCACGGTCTGGTGTATTTATTTACTATATTTATAGGTCAGAAAGTGTGTAAATCTGATATGAAAGAAGCATTTTCTTATGTTTTATTTCTTACATTTTTAAAATGACAAGTGCAAGAAATTTCAACGGCTGGTGGTGTAAAAATATCTATGGACTTGCCCTAAAGGATTGTGTTTTTATTCTGCACTGATATCAAAACTCACAGAAGCAGCATATGATCAGCTTGATAAGGAACAACTTAAAATCAAGTATTTTTTAGAAAGACATTTTTTTATAATTTGGAATCTAATCTCAGATGTATTTAAACTTGGTTCCTCTAATAACAAGTGTTTATTTTCTGTACTAAAATATTGTTTCAGTAAAATAAATAAGCCTGATCATTTCTTGCAACTCCTTTTCTGTAGAATTAAAAATGCTTTTATAGAAACTTAAAATGGATGTCAACTGAGAATTCTTCAGAAAAAAAAAGGAATTTCTTGACCACTTACGCTGATTTTTGAATGTCCACTTGGAGATACAAATCAGGTCCAAACTGTCTAGAGTCTATATTTATGTCCATCAGACCTAGTCTGATGAAGCCTCGATAACACCAGATTGTCCCCCAGGCACATATGAGTTATGGCACTCTTGCATCTACGTGTTCACTAAAAAAATCCTACTTCATCTGTACAAAAAAATTAACAAGAAATCTTTATGATTGAAAGTCAGTTCTTTAATCTTCCCTGCCATAATCTTCCCTGCTATATATAAAAATCTGCTGCTTTTGGCAATGGTAGTTTTAGAAGTGAAAGAATAGAAATCACAGCTATAATAATCATGTACTTCATATCATGTTAGTTATGAGTTTACAGTGAGGGAAAGGGATATCTCTTCATGGAGCCTGGTTACGGCAAAAAAGCCTGTCAAATATGTTAAAAAGGGTGTGTTGATTGTGTTTGTTTTTTGGGTTTTGATTTTTTGTTTGTTTGTTTTAATTTGGGATAGAGCAGATGGTTGTCTTTACATCTTTAATGTTGTAAGAATGACTGCTCTTTATATATTCTTACAGCAGTCCTGCAGCAACTGCTAGACCCATAGAGAAAGGCAGTTATATATATCCATCCATCCATCTATCCATCCATCTTTTTTCCTCCCTTTTTATTTTCTTGTGGATTGGAAATCATTGTGGTCATTCCAGCTGGTGCTATCCTTGTTAATATAGGATGGTATTCCCCGTGAGGGCATAGGAATATTGTTCTCACTGATCCTGGGAGATTACGGGTTGAGTTTGGTGCAGGTATGAAGTAGTGTAAATTACAGAGATGCCCAATTATGAGAAAGTAAGAGCCTGTCACGTCAGTGGGGTTCCCATTCATATGACAAATAGATGTATGTTTTTATCTGTGCAGCATCCTAAGCATGTGCAGTGTGGATACAGAGTGGGATGCCTGTACTGGAATGACCCAAGAAAGTAATGAAGAGGTGTGAAAGCCCTTAAGTAAAGGCCCTAGATGAAAATAAAAGAATGTGGGGCCTGACACAGCTCAACTGTGTATACATTGAAGATATATCTGATGAGAAAATTGTTCTTTGGTAAAGGGTTGCATTTTTAGCCTTGTAAGCAATGTCTTTTTTTTTTCTGTGGATTATTTTTAACCAAAATCATTAAGTGAGCTTCTTTACTGCCTGACCTCCACAAACTGCTTTGTTATTCCATTAGTGAAGGTGAGATAAATGTCAACAGAGGAGCAAAAATAAGTGAAGAAGAGTGGAAAGGGAAAAATGCCTTAAGAACCCCTTAAACCAGATTTGCTATCAAAGGCAATACATTACTAAATAATCGTATTTGGATAAATTTCTGTGAGTTAAAAACTAAAAGAGTTATGATGATGAATAAGTTACATTTATGTACTGTGCTTGATTGATAAACAGAATTATTTTCTTCCGTTGTTGATAGGTCCAGAGTATGGTGCTCTTGACTGAAATGAGTCAAGTACTGTGAATGAAAGTTTAATATACACAGAATTGCATAACATCATCCTAGTTTGCAAGGTGCTGAGAGACTGCTATTGGAAGCTGTTTCAATTAATTTTCTCATTTGTATTACTACACTGTCTTTCCTCCAGCAAAAGGGACATGTTCTAGTTTCAAGCAGATGATGAAAGGTGTATGATTGGAGTGTCTCAGTTCAGTTAACATGCTTTTCACCTGGTTTAGGGAATACCTTAGGCTGATAGTTGTCTGCCTGAAGTTCAAATAGTAACAAAGACATTTTCACAAGAGAAAATATATCCAGATTTAATTTTGAAAGGGCAACAATTGCGGCAGAGCATGAAAATGAGCTGACACTACATATGCTGACAATAACCCTTTTCAAAACCCATCTGCTGGAATAGGCCAGGTAACTCGTGATGCTGAACTCAAACCCATCTGCCTTGAGGATAAGGTGAGGATGAGTGAAACACACCCACAACCATCCACACACTCATCTTGTTTGTGGATAAACACCAGGTTTCTGTGCCTGGCTCCCATCAGCCCTGTTCTGTATGCACTGCAGAGAGTGATGAGCAGAGTGATGACGACCTTTGCTTCAGCATGTGCGTGGTAAGTCTGAGACATCGCACAATGATGAACTCACTGTCTAGCCACTGTACAGCTCTTGTGAACATATTTCAGTCTCAGAAATCCCAGACAGAAATATGAGCCCCCAGGGCTGTAAATCACTATTTTCTCACTGAACCCTAAGGCTGATGAAGCTCAGGTTGGCTTCAAGCCTGTACAAGAACAATGGAAATGTTTGGCTGTGGAAAGATTGAAGGTTTTAAACAAATCTCTAAAGTCTTCAGATTGTGGAGATTTCAGGTGTGGAAAAGGGCATGACCAAAGACAGTTGAACAGATAATAGATTTCTATATTTGTATATATTTTTTGTATTTCTGTTGCTTTAAACCATTTACCACATCTCAGTATGGAGTTTAAATGTTGAACTGCTGGTATTGCTAGGTCGGCAATCCCTTCCCCACTTCCTTTTAGCTTGGAAAATCAGGAGACATCTTTTTATTTAATCTCCAAATCACAAGTCTTTTTTACTAAGTTCTTTCTCAACCAGAAAAATTTCCACCTTGACACTGGCATTTTTCCAAATATAATGCCTTTCAGCCTACAAAAAAGAATAAGCCAACAATTCCTTTCCGTCTCAGAGCACTTTACTCAAAGTGCTTAGTGCATTCTTATTCTGACTAAAGATGGATGAAAGTGGTTTGGGTTGGTCTGTTTTATCTGCTGTAAAACAACTGTACTACCAACAACTTGTTTTTCTAAACATCATCTTTCATTTTTCCCTTGTGAGGGTGTATTTTTCATTTTAAGGAAATAATTCTTGCTCACTATTCAGAAGCATCAGAAGTGAATATAAAACTGTAGGTCTACTTCCAGGAATGGCATGAAAATATACGCTGTAATAAATTTTATGCTTCATGTTTCTCAGAGAAACAGTTTATACCATTTAAAGGGGACCAAAGGAAAGAACCATACCTGGAATTTCACTAGAAATTTTCTACCACATAGAAGCAATGTGGGAAAAATATACAACCGAGGTCAATACCCAGGATGCTCTCCCTTCCACCACAGCATCACTCACCACCTCTCTGCCTGTGTATGATATTTCTCTAATGATTATTATCATGTGAGTTCTGCTTCAAAACTGCTGTGCATGAACCAGAGGTGAGTGCTGTCATGTAAGGCAGTAATAGTGGGAAAATTATTAAGAAGCTTCAAAGTTATGAATCCAAACCCAGTGCTTCTGTGCTGTCTTTTGCTCTACCCAAACAGCCTCTACTGCCCCACAGCTGAGGAAACTTGCATGGGAGTCCGCTCTACCAGAAAATGGTCATTAGGAAAAGGTAAGGAAAAACATAAGTTTTTCATCTCAGCACGTTTGATTATGTTTCCCGTGATCAACTATTATAGCTCTTTGCCTTCTGTCTGTTATCACCTTTAGAAGCATGCTGGAAGCATCTCAGCACTTTCAAATCAAAGATGAGCTTGTCATGCAATACTTATATTTTCTGATTGAAGTTGTCATGCACTCCTAAAGAAGGGATTTTTCCTGGTGCTGAGGAAACAGGTACTCGGGCTGATGCAGATCAGCTGTATGCTTAACCTCTCATGTTCAGGACTTGGATGCCTTCCTACAGAACTAATACTGACAGGATGGGACACATAAAAAGAGATGAGTCCAAACCATAAAACAGGCTATGCTGCCCCACAGTCATGAAATCAGTTGGCTGTGATTTCCAGTCACTTGCCTTAATCAAGCTATGAGACTTTGGTTTTATTATGTGTAACAGGCTGGTAAAGCAATTTGCTTAGTCATTTAAACCAGATGTGTAACTAAGACTTAAAGCTATTGGGTGAGAGAATTTGCCTTTGTGGTGTTTATAAAGTGTCACAACCATCCATGGTTTTAAATGGACATTTTTTCTTATTCCTGGTGTTCAACTCTAGTCATCATGCCTTCTACAGGTTGTGCAACACTCTCCAGAGTTACTGAGGGGAGAGGGTTTTGAACTAGATGATCTTCAACGTCTCCTTCCAACCCAAATCATTCTATGGCTCTGTGATGCTTTAGTTTGATGCCTTTAGTTATTATTCACAATGTAACTCACTATTGCAAGACTTTGCTTTTAGTTTCAGTTATGCTTCTGTAAGTCTATGCCCAGAGATACAGGTTTGGGTTTTCATTATAGTCTGAAAGATTAATCAAAACCAATCCAACCATTTTAGAAAAAAAAAGGAGGTAGACAGAAAGTGCTCTTTGTTTATAGTAAAGGCATTTAAATGAGAGGCATTTATTTGTGTCCTTCAAGGTAGAAACTGGAAGAGTGGTTCATGATTGTTTCTCTGTTGCTAGGTGAAACTGCTTAAATGTGCAAAAATCTGAGTATTTAGATTTAAAAGCTTCAGTAGAAACATTTGCTACATGTGAGAAAAGAAGATCAGTGTCTCTCAACCAGAGAGATAGTTCTTAAATGACTGCAACTCTTCTTCTGTGATATGTATGCATCCTATGCATCCATGCACAGAAGCAAGAAAATAATAAAAAAAATGGAAATTATGTCCAATTTTAGTAAGCTGTGCTCTTTTTTTGCCTTTTTTTTCCTTCCACCCCTACAACCCTCCTCTGCCCCCCCCCAAACAGTGTGTCAGACTTGGTCTTGTGGAAGGAAGGAAGGAAGGAAGGAAGGAAGGAAGGAAGGGAGATTATTCTTAGGATACTCCTCATTCTGTACACAGAATAAGACAGATATCCCTCAGAAGAAGAGGGTGCAAGCTTTTATAAAAATACAGAATTACATCTGAGGACTGAATCACAGCATGCAAACACAAATGTACTGTGACAAGCCATATGTTTTGGTTCTTGATTTCTTCATTATAAGCAACTCGAGGAGGTAGTAAAAACAAGTATGCCTCTACGTATTTTCCATCATTCTACTCTCAGTATCCATTTTTGGGGTGTATGCTAAATTCCCATAGAAAATATAAAGTAAGTCCCAGTGCCATTTTCCCAGCTCATTTTTCATATATAATTTTCCATTAATATTGCAGATGATTCTGCTCCACTCCTACTCTCTGGTTTTTTTTCTTTCTCAGCTTGAAATCAGTGCAATTTTAAATACTCTACCTGCCAGATTAGATGTATTGTATTACTCATAAGACACATAAAAGCAGTTAAGCTTTTTTTATTGTTCTTTACATATGTCTCAGCGTAACAGTGAATTTAATATTAGGTTTGTGCAGGAAGGACTAAATAACAGGAAATAATCTATATTTCATAGCTCCAGGTGTCAAGCAAATAGTATATACTACTCAATATCCCTATTGCAGATATGACTTTTATATTAGGAATAAGAAATTAGAAAATTAAAAATGTCCTCTTCTCTCATTTTAATATGTTTTACTGATAATCAAATTTGATCATGTTAGATCAGTCTCTAGGAATGGGAAAAAGAAAGATAAAAAGCTATAGTTTGGAAACAAGCAGGAAGAGCAAGTAAGCTATTCAGCATAGCAATACTTTTTCTCTTTAATGGATTTCTGCTGTCTGTACAACTTCATTTGGAGAACATTAATGAAATAGTAATGTGATATATATGTCTGGTGAGACTCAGGCAATATAATAAATGATTTTGTAGGTGACATTTTGTGCCTTTTAAAGCGTGTTTTTGTTTGTTATTGCCTTAAGCTTGTTCAATGTGCTCAATTTACATCTGACTTTTTTTTTATGTCTTCTATGATACAAGTTCTTAGTGAAGATGCCAAAGCTTATAATAAAGGAGGGTTTAGAAACAAAATTTAAATCCAAGGCGGGCAGACTAAGATCATCACTTTTTCCAGTACTGAATACCAGATAGTTCCTGCTGATTTCAAGGTGTAAGAATAACACTGAATTACTCCACTGCCACAGGGGAGTTACAGATTTGTGCTGTAGCTGTCCTGGCTCTCTGTACCTAACCTGTGCACTGGGAGGACAGCTGTGCACTTGCAAACTGCTTAACTGAAGGGTGGCATCACTGTGACAGGACTGGACAACTGTCCAGCACTAAACACCAGAATTTTGCAAACAGCTTTACTTTTGAATGCTTTTTTTTTTTTTTGCTGTTATTCCTTAAAATCAGGTCTTTCCACCCAATTTCCATTGCTTCTCAATCGTTCTCCTGTCCACGTAATGGTATAACCCTGAAGGATGAGGCAAAGCTCAGCCAGACATGCAGGGCTGGTGCCTACCATATCTTCATCAGGCTCAGCACAGGGCTCCAGCCTTTCTCTGTGGGAAGTGAGGGAGAGTGACGAAATGGGGATAAGCTCCTTGCAGCACTGCTCCCCAACAAGACCATGCCAGAAACTTATATGTAATCCCTAAGGTGAGAGAAGGGTTATTGTCATTCATAAAACTTTTCCCAGCTTGGTTCCAGGAAGCATTACATAATACAGCACTAGGAAGAGCACATTTTATCAGCTTGTAATATATTTGCACTTAAACATCTTGCCTGTACCCTTACAGCTCTATTCCACTGAGTACATTTCCTCTGCAGGAAGACCCATGGAATTCTGTTTGCACTTTCTCAGTGGGGAAATTGAATGATAGTCAAACATTCCTAACTTTTTTGTTTGAATTACACTGTTATTATGCTGTCTGCTGTGAAGAGCTTTTAAGTGAAGTGTTTACCATTAGAGCCTCTCCATTAAAAATTATTTACTATCGACAGTGTTAGCTAGCAGGGAATATTTCTCTGGAATATGGATTTGTAATTACACTGTTAGTTTAAGGTTTAAAGCTTTTTTTGATGGCTTAGAGAGAGGTGTTTTTTTTTGATTTTGAAACCACAGGAGATGTATGAGAAATCTGACCTATCGTGTTGTCTCTGGCTCAAGAGAGGGAATCTGGAATGAATAATAATAAAAATAAGGCAAAGAATTATTTTCTCTAAAAGCACTTTAATCTGATTCCATGGACAGATGGCCAAAGCAGAAATTGTTGTTTTGCTTTGAACGGTTTGTGTGGCTGCCTGGAAGCCATTGTCCCTGCAGCAGGACAGGCAGGCAGGTTGAACTGAGCAAATTCTCCTGGTGAACTTCTCTGAGAAGTCAGCCAGATTCAATCAGGAGTCAAAGCACAATAACTTAAAAGCACAGCAAAAATACTGTCAGCCTGTACACTTCCTTGCCACCCTGAATTTACTGTGTATGTAACGCGTGGCACATCTGCACAGGCTCTGGACCAGGAGCAGAAGAAAGGCGGCCGTGCCAAAGGCACAGCTCTGCGGGGTCTGTGTGCAGTGTCTGTGGGACCCGGGCCACAGTGAAAGGTGCTACTGGGTGGAGGTTTGGCTACTCAGTCGAGGCACACTGCTGCCAGATGGCAGTGCTTACCCTTTTTACACCAGAGCCTTTTCTTTGCTTTCAGCTGGCCCTGGCTATGATCACGGATGTGTTTGCATGGGGTGCATGTCAGTATGCCTAAAAGCCACACCAAATTTTATCAGAAGGTTTGACTCTAGCCTTGTGCGTTAGTATCCAAATGAAGACTGTGAATAAGGAAGGTCTTATTAAGTGATCATAGACGGAAGCTTTAAAATGTACAATTCTTTTAGATCCTCTAAATTAATTCCCTCTATTAAGTGTAATTATTTTAAAGTATAATTTTTTAATATTCATTCATCACTTTATGACAACATGAAAAACTTTAAAATAACTTTAGAAGGACGGCTTAATATTGTCCAGCACAAGGCTGATATGCATCTTGAAACAACTGATCTGAAAGTGATTGACTTCTAAAAGTGAAAAAAATCCACCTTTTTCTGAATCAAAGTGCAAATCTTAACTAATTTCTAGTTTACTTCCTAACTGAAAAAACAAAGAATAATAAGTACAAATGCAGTTTTTGAATTAGACAATTGCAATTTTCCTTGCTTTTGGAAACCAGTGCAACTACTGAAAAAGGAATTTCAGAACACCATAATCCACCAAATGTGAAATTGCCTCAGGAGGAGGTCACTGTGCTAGAAATTCATTATATTAACTTACAAGCAAGTTGCTAGTGATTATAATGAAAACCCCTGACTGTCTCTAGCCATGTTAGAAGTGTGTGTAATGCAACCTCCAATGACACAGCCTAGAAGTGATGAGGCACTGCTGCAAGAGAGGCACCACTCATGGCTCAGGTGAAGCAGCTGCTGGAACAGCTACCATGCACCAATTGCTAACCCATAGCTAACCTGGCTATTAACTTTTCTAGTCTATAATAATTTCCCCAGCTATGGTAAAATGGTTCTGACAAATACCAGACTGAAATTTCCGAACAATTCTACTTTTCTGCAAACCTTACTCTTCAAAGTGACATAAAATAATGGAGTTCTTCTGTCTTTGTATAAATGACTAAAGTATGTGCTATCAAACTGTTGAGTAGATTTTAAGTTGATCCATTTCGAATATTATTTTTATTTTACAATGGCTTTCACGGAGATCTGACCGGAAAACTCATATGATATGTGTGCTTTTGTTTAAATATTCAGATAAATAAAAAGCTATTTTCCTAGGAGGTTGTCTCAGGGCAGAAAGAAATGTGGTGACTGAATTATAAATCCTTTATAGTCATTTACCGTAAAAATGCGGATACACCAGGAACTGTAATGCTGTGACCAATTTTGTTATAATAAAAACATTCTACTTTACCTTTTTATTTTACTTTTCCTCTCCAACAACTTATTGTAAACTTTTATTAGTGCATTTGAAATAAGCCACCTCTTGCTCTTGCTCTTCCAGAGAGAGAATTTCACGGGCACAATCAAAACTTGCTAATCCAAAGAAAGTTGTGAACTAAGAAAACAATCTCAAGATTGTATCAAACATTGCTTAACTCTGTTCTGGTAAGTATACAGCTGACTTACTGGATATTCATAGCATGTTCTGTACTCCTACAGAGATTATTTAGTAAAAAAATGCTTAAAAAAATACCAAAGCAAGAAGAATGATAAGCAGGTTTGTGTTATAATATGTCACAAAGCAGAAAGACAGAATGGGTGCTGTTTGCTGGGTGAACACTCAGCAATATACTATATAGATATTGCATCTACATAGTATATTGACAACAGCAGATTAGAGTGACCCTGGCATCATGGGTTGCTTTTTACATGTGACTAGATCTAGTGAGGAACTGAGGAGACTTTATGTGGTTCATGGGAAAATCTAATTTCCTTATTGGTGATCTAATTTTGAGAACTCTGGCACTACCCTGACAGCATATTTACAAAGAATCAATTCTCTAGGGTCTTTGTGCTAATAAAGCAACCTTCTGCCATTATGCGTGGTGCCTTTTCCTGTTGCAAACACTAAGATATGAAAAATACTAGAAAACTGCCTCTTTTGTGGAAAAAAATTCAGATTGCTTCGATGTAGAAAGTCCTTGAAGTTCCTACAGCTGAACTCAATCCCTCTGTGATCTAATATTCCAGGTTGAAAATCACTGCACACAGGGTGGACAACAACTGATCAAAGTATGAGATAATTGGGATAAAATGATGGAGAAAATCATGGCTGTGTTGATGAAATTTGGAATACCACAGTTCATACAAACCATCTCTACGGAGAGTGGAGAAGTGGAGATATGCTGTGCCACTCACCAGGATGCTGGACAGCCTGCCTATTCTACAGCTACTGGGGAAGTAAAGAGAGTAAAAAGTGCTCAGGGCTTCATGATCAGAGTATTAATCAGTGAAAATGGGGGATGCAAAGAAACTTCATCTTTGCATATAATTAGCTGGCATTCAAGTCACTGTTTTGATGGGATTACTTTTAGACTCCATTGAGGCAGCTGAGCTGGGCATGGTAATTCAGCACAGTTGCATGTGCAGATAGTAGCTCTCAGATGCTGGCTTGAGTCCTGAAAGCAGTACAACAGTGTTGGCTATAAATAATACAGCAGGGAATATGTAGGCAATGCTGTTTTCAATACTCATGTTAATCTATTACAAGTTTGTTTTGGTATCTCTCCCTGACACAGCTTTATGCTGCTTAGACTTATCCTTCATGTGCAAGCAGGGAAGCTCTTTGGTTTTTTTGTGCGGAGGCAACATGCAACTCACAGCTGTATCTGGGAGGAGAAAGAACAGATGGGCTGGAAGTAATTGTGCCATGTTCAAAATTACAATTAAAATTCTATGCTGCTTCTTGAGGAATAAAAATCCAAAGGAGAAAAATCCTCAGGTTTTGTTTTTCAGATGATCATATGAAAATGAAGACTGGGGCATGGTCTCACTGAAAGATTCCAGAAAGAATGTTGGCAATGGACAATAGAGAGGCACAGACAACTCTGAAATACTGCGAGTAATTTTTGTCCTGACAGTATTGGAGAAAGAATGTTCAGTCTTGAGGTTACAGGCACACTGTGTTCATTCAGACATTTGCCCATGAAGTTGAGGAGCCTTGGCTGTGCTTGGAGACATGAAGCCTACAAACAACAATCTTACTCCAGTGGTGGGTGAGATGCGAGTGACCAAACACAGGGCTAGCAAACACTTATATTGTACCTCTTATAATTGCTGCAGTTATAAAACCTTTCTACTGTTCTCAGATTTCTGATAAATTACAAATGGGAAGGTTATAGTGATGCAAACAGGGAACATTTCTGTATATCTTTATTTTATTTTCTATTTTATGTTATGTTGGTCCTGATTTGTGGAACTCAAAGTGAGGTAAGTCACAGGTGAGTACAAGCATACCTGTGTGCCCACATATATTAAAGTCATTCCTTACAGTTGGTCAAAAATCCTCTGATTTCCAAGAAAAATATTATGATAAAATACTAAAATACTAAAAAGAAGGCAATGCCTTTGCCTGATCTTATATGCAGTGTGAGAAGAGATAAAGGTGAAAACACTCATGCATGAGGAAGGATAAAAACTTGAAAGTATAAGACTAATACAAGCTTATCTGATCAGTCACATGTATTTCACTAAAATGTTCAGTTTCTCAGCAGTCAATAACATCTTGCAGGAACTGATGTACTGTCAGGGACAATTGAAGAAAGGGGAAAGCAGAAGTAGATATGTCTGGAAATCACAGGGTTGTGTCCTAAGGCTACAGGGTCAGTGACTCTGTGTATGCCTCTTCCTAAATACATCTGCATAATAAGCTTTTCCCTTTTCATATTAATATTTTTGAAAATGTTTCTGATCTGTATTTGCATATGGATGCCAGATGATGATGCGTTAAGTCTGCAAGCTGAATTGAGCACAAAAACATGCTCAAATGAAGCAGGGAAATATTGCTGTGTCAAAGCCACAGATAATATTACATATGCAAAATTTACCTAGCAAGTTGCTTGGAAGGAACCGTCTCTTGAATATTGCAGCAATAGGATTAGCATTTAAGTAAACCAGCAAAATTTTTCACTGATGAAGAGTACCTAAGAAAGTCATAAAATTGACCTTTAAAAGTTCCTAAAATCTAGCTAGAACTGAGAATCTGTTAATGTAATGGATTTTGTCAAAAACCAACTTACGATTATCATCTGATAAATCCATTTAGAAAAAGAAAAGAACTTGAACATGTAATTCACATTGTTTCTCAGGTCCATTGAGACTTAAAGATTAGGAGTATGTTATGCATGCCTTCTGATGATAATATAATAAATGTGTGTCTTGGGCTTGTGTGGCCAGGTTTTGTTAGTGGGGTGGCTACAGGGGTGGATTCTGTCAGAAACTACCAGAAGCTTCCTCCATGTCCAGCAGAGCCAATTCCAGGCTGCTACAGGACACATTGTCACTGGCCAAGGCTGAGCTCATCAGGAATGATAGTAGTATCTCCGTGGTAATGTATTTAAGAAGAAAAAAGAGTTATTGGACAGATGAAAATTACAGCAAGAGAAGAGCAGAGTGAGAGAACACGTGAACAACTCCACAGACATGGAGGTCAGTGGGAAAGGAGGGGGTGAAGATGCTCCAGGCTCCAGAGCTGAGGTTCCCCTGCAGCCCGTGGTGCAGCCCACGGTGAGGCAGCTGTGCCCCTGCAGCCCATGGAGCACCACGGGGGTGCAGAGATCCACCTGCAGCCCAGGGAGGAGCCCACACTGGAGCAGGTGGATGCCCTGTGGGAGCTCCAAGGTGGCAGGGACCTGCAGCCCTGTGGAGAGAGGAGTCCACACTGGAGCAGGTTTTCTTGGTACGACTTGTGATCCTGTGGGGATCCCATGATGGAGCAGTGTGTGCCTGAAGCACTGCACACCGTGGAAGGGTGAGCCACATTGCAGCAGTTTGTGAAGAACTGCTGCCCGTGGGATGGACTCACATTGGAGAAGTTCATGAAGGACTCTCTCCTATGGGAGGGATCCCATGATGGATCAGGGGAAGGACTCCTCTCTGAGTAGCAGCAGAAACAATCTATGATGAACAGACTGTAACCCCCATTCCCTGTCTCCCTCCACCACAGTTGCAGAGGGGAGTGACAGAGCGGCTTTGGTGAGTACCTGGTGTTCAGCCAGGGTCAACCCACCTGACGTGGCACCTGATGGGCCACATTTGACTCTTCGTATTTGGCCATATTTAAAGAGCTATTTCTAAAGTGGGTATTATCATTTCCAGTACACAGCTTTGCTTTAAGCATTGCTGTGTGCTGACTGAGATTACGGTGTGCTACAAATGGGATTTCCATTATTACAGGCACCAAATAAGACTTATCTGAAAACTCTCTGTTTCCTGACTCTGAAAGGTTTGCTTTAATAATTGCAATAACAGATATATGGTTTTTGTTTCCTTCAAAGAGAGAAATGAGGGTACAAGAGGCCTTTCTATTTTCAAAGAAAAAGTTTGAAATTTTCTCCATCATTAATGCTTCATTCTGGGAACTCTGATTCAGCAAGAGCTAACTTGTCTGTGTTCACAAATTGAATACTAGAGACAGCAAGCATTTTTTTCCTTATGAGGGACAAAACTTCTGTTTTAAATATTAGTGAAATTACAGGATGTCAGAAAAATATACGGAGTTGGGCTGCACAACATATCTTGGCTCCGCAAATATACTCTTGTTTTCAATGCCTCTGTTCCAAATTCAAAGCAGAAGACATCAGGACATGGAAAAAGTCAAGCAGGCATAATTTTCTTATGTTCTTCCATTCATGACTCAGTACAATTTCTTGCACTATGAATTTTGCATTGGACTTCATTTTTTCCTTGAACCTGAATCTTTCCTTTCCTGTGTGAGATATTTCTCTTGGTAAATGTATGCTTACTGGAGTTAAATGTATTTAAATTGCTGCAAAGTTGTAAGGGAGTGACACTTTCTACTGAATAACTTTCTCAGCCTTACATAACAACCACCTGAAAGTCAAAGTTGTGCCTTTTCCCAAGGACATAGTTTCAAAGTTGTCACCTGTAATTGCTATTCATGGAAAGGAACTAATCAGATAGATAGTGTTCATCATTTGATTTCATACTTGTTCTACAAGCTTTAAGCACAGGAAACCTATGAGAGATTTATTTCACTGCTCACTCATATCTTTACTGCACAGCATAAAGATGAACGTCTACAAAGAGATGTTTGAATTCAGTACGTCACTCTGCTGCATAGATAGGATACTAGGTACATGGAGTGCTAGCACTCCATGTACCTAGTATTCTATCTATGCAGCAGGGTGACTGACAGAATTCAAAGATGCATTTTAGCAAGAAGGCTAGTGAAGATCCTTTAAATAAATGCAAACTTCTTCACCAAAAGGCTGGAGAGGAGCAGGAGTAAGTCTGTAAAGAGGGAACTGGACAGTATTATTAGTAGAAGGCACTGCAGAAATAAAAAATGTTTCAAAAAGATGAGTTTCCTTAATGGAAAAGGGCTTTGTTCAATAATCCAATACAAAATTTAGTAAAGCTTTGGGAAATGTCTCCATTTTGAGGTATTGCTTTGACAAACATCCACAGTTAGCATGGTTATAGCTGTAGTTTGTTCTGTTTTTTAGCACACTGGTCTTTTCAAAGTTTCCATTATGTTATTTTTTTAAGGCAACATCAGTGTCTGTGAAGTGGAGGCTCATCCTGAGACCATGAATCAATCTGACATGCTGAATGGTTGTCTGATTTTATAACTTGTATGAATATATAATACTGACATAAAAAAAAAAAAAATTCAAAATCAATGTCATTAATATCCCCTTTGCTTTAAAAAAAGCCAGTCCATTGCCACTTGGCAGGAGCTGGCCTGGTATGAGATAATAAGAACACATACTGTGACATAGCTTGGTACATTAGTATCTTTCCATTAATTATATAACCAAAGTTTTCTCCTTGATGATAATTGTTCCTCCTTTATTTCCTTGTAGTTTGAATAGCATAGATACATATCTTTAAACATTCTATTTACTGTCAGAAATTGTATGTGAATGGATTTAATGTAAATACTTTAGAATAGTCTTGGTTCATAAGTTCTTCATGTCATTCAGTACTTAACACAGCTATAAAATCTAAGATGTCCCAGAAGAGCATATATAGGGCACATCTAGATTGCACTTGAAAACCAAAACATTGCATCACTACTTTCTTCAAATACTATTTTTATTGAACTGCGTGTGAACAAGGCCTTGCCATTTACATTTCATTATTCAAATGAGCATTGAAGCAAAGTGTATTAAAAGTTGCAGAGCCTTGAGTTTTGCTCTTATTTGCTTCATATATAACCCAGTTTTCTTATCCTTAGAGTTCAGAAATCACCTGCTGATCTCCTTGGAGTGACATGAGAAATTGCCAGGTAGAATAATGAACCTAGAAGCAGATTTCTTGATCATCTATATAAACATAACATCACACCTGGGGTCTATTCTGGAGTCAACCAGCCAGCCAGCTTCCTCCAGAGCAATGCCCATGATGGCTGCAGGGACCCTTCTTCTATGCAGGATGAGTGACATCACAAAAAGCTGTGCTTACAGGTACTCTGTGCAGCTGCCAATGCTAGAACAGGTTTCTTTCCACCTTTGGCTCTGTGTCTTCATGTGTCAGGACCCAAAAAGGTCTTTAATATTTTACTATAGGACCATCATTTCTCCCTTGCAACATGACCCAGTGTCTGCATTCCATCACTGAGGTGATCTCCCATTGGTCTGAAGAAACCAGAACACTGGTCTCTATATACACTAAAATTTCCCAAAGATAGGAATGTTTTGCCTCTGTCTGGACCAGATGCTATCCAGTGCTTCTGAGCTGAGAAAGAGCTGACTGTGAATGCCAACCAATCTGTCCTACAGTCTTTATAGAATCTAGATATCTCTCTATGGGATAGACAAAAAAAAAAAAATAAAATCCAGCTTTCTTTTTTCTGCCCCTTTCTTTCCCCCAGCATGCCCCTGTTTTTCAGCCATTCTTTATGACAAAAAGCGATATAAAGCAGAATGGTCTTTGAGTTCTGTGTTGGTGGTGCTGATCTTAAAGCACTACAAATTTAACCCTATCATGGCTATCTTTTTTTACATGAAGTTT